ACCGCCACACTTTTGTCCTCCGCATACAAGTTTTGACTTTTATTATATACTAGCTTGGGGACCCGGCGTTGCCCGGGTTATTAGAGAAAGTGGGTAATGGCGGTTCTGTATGCCAAGTTTGGTCTTTATTGGTCTTTGGATAACGGCTGCATTATTTTCAGGAAGTGAGTGAAGGTACTGCAAGTCCCAAAATCCATGCACGATCCACAGTCAAACCTCACCAGGGCATAAAGTGGGTCATGAGAGGTCGATGTGCCAAGTTTGGTGTTGTTCAGTCATTGTTGAGGGTTGCAGCAGTCTCGGAAAGCGAGTAGAGGTACTTCAAGTCCCATCATCCATGGCATGCCCTACTTCAAACCATATTAGGATGTAGAGTGGGTCATGGGGGCTCTGTGTGCCAAGTTTGGTTTTGTTTGGACATTAGATGAGGGTTGCAGCAGTCTTGGGTAGTGGAGGTACTTGAAGTCCTATCATCCATGGTCTGTCGTCCTCCAAACTGCTCCAGGATGTAGAGTGGGTCATTGAAGCTCCATGTGCCAAGTTTAGTCTTGATGAGTCATTGGCGAGGGTCTCAGTGGTCTCAGGAAGTGAGTGAAGTGACTGCAAGTCCCATCATCCATTGTCAAATTCTTCCAAACCGCACCAGGATGTAGAGTGAGTTATGCGGACTCTCTGTGTAAATTGTGGTCCTGATCCATCATTGTTGGCAGTTATAATGGTCTTAGGAAGGGAGTGCAGGTATTGCAAGTCCCATCGTCCATGGTGCATCCTCCTTCAAACTGCACCTGGATGTAGAGTGCGTCATGGAGACTCAGTGTGCCAAGTTTGGTATTTTTTGGTAATTGGATGAGGGTTGCAGTGGTCTGAAGAATGAGCAATGGTACTGCAAGTCCCATAATCCACGGTCCATCCCCGGCCAAACCACACCAGGACGTAAAGTGGGTCATGAGAGGTCTCTGTGCGAAGTTTGGTCCTGATCAGTCATTGGATAAGGTTAACAGCGGTCTCAGAATGTGAGTGGTGGTACTGCAAGTCCCATCATCCATGGTTCATAGTCCTCCAAACTGCAGTAGGATGTAGAGTGGGTATGGGGGCTCTGTGTGCCTATTTCGGGCTGTATTGGGAGTGTTCTGACCCAGCCCCCGGCCTTTCCTTTCCTCTCTTTCTCATCTCGGAATGTTTGATTTGAGGCTGGCCAATCAGAGACCATATGCAAATTTCCTTCTGTCATGCCCCGTTTCTGCCATGAACCCTCTTCTCCACCAGGGGCTCCTATTGAAGCTGGCCAATCAGAGACCATATGCAAATAGCACCACAGCGGCAGCCAATCAGAACGCTGCCACATACACCGCCCTTCCTCTGTCCGATACAAACACTCTTCTTTATTATATATATAGATATAGATATAGATATAGATATAGATAACTATCTTTAAGTTCTAGATTTTCCCCCTTCATGCACCGTTATACCTATCTTTATTTATACTTCCTCTCCTGTCATTATTTATTTGCTCCATGCTGAGAAAGTGTGACTTGCCCAAAATCACCCAGTGAGTTCCATGATTGAGTGGAGCTCCAAATCCATGTCTCCAGAGTTGCACTCCAATACTGAAGCCACTACACTGGTTTCTTTAAGGGCCTTTCTACACTGCCCTCTATCCCAGAATCTGATCCCAGATAAACTGAATTATATGGCCAATTCCAAAACACAAAAGTCATTTTCAAATCTTTCAGAGCTTTTGAGTTGTATTTTTTAAAATGCCACTGCTTGTGAATTTGGGATGCAGTAGAAAGCGGGATCCTTATCTCAAAATCTTTATATTTTCTCCTGCACAACAGCATCATCTGCTGGTCCTGAAGATACATAACAAGTTAAGGGGTTTTGGTTTTTTTTTTTTGGGGGGGGGGGGGTTATATAATTGTTTTTGTTTTTTCATATACTCCAGGATGAGCTGTTTTAGTTCCATTTTGTGGTTACAGAATGCACAAGAAAACTAAACCTAGACTCTAGGCATTCTGATGCATCATACTCTGCACATTCACATTTGTTTTTGATTTGGAGGGGGGGGGGGTTTGGCATGATGGTTAACTTTTTTTCCCTAGTATAGTAAAACCAAGACAGATGGAAGTGCTATTATATTGCCCCTATGTCTCCAACACAGATGTAATATGACATAACATTCCATATACTATGAAAACAATTCAGCTAAATCCTTTTGTTTAGTTTTATTGTGATTTGTTTAATGCTACAGTATGACTCCAGTTCTCTTAACACTGGTATCCAGGGTTCCCCTGCTCGCATCCAACAATATGTAAAATTCACTAGGCAGGTGATGCTATGGTATGCTTCTATGAATACCATACAGTCACCCTGGAAGGCATAGCAATTTCCTCCAGGATACATCTCTAGGGTTTTTCTAGCTCCTCCAGCATGTTATGGCAACTTCCAATGGTAGTCATTCATCTTAATAGTTTACATGTGTAACTATGTAGGATCACTATGCAACAAGGATGCAATATACCTGTTCTATTTGGTACTAATAGGGTGTTTTCAATCAATATTGTACTTTCTCGGCCTTGGAGATTGTACTTGGGGATTCTTTCCCTCAAACAATGATGGAAAACTATTCAACTTTCATAAGAAAGCTATAGAGCTTCCCACCTTCCCACCCTCCCAAATGCATAATTTTCTAGCAAGTTGTGGAGTTTTCCCAAAAGGTAGAGGAAAAAGTATAAAATGTAAAAACTGGTATTTTGCACATAATTAAATGTAGTACAACTTTAAATGTTGATATGTTTTAGAAAACAGGTTGGTGCATAGTTACAAAAGCTGTGAACCTGCAAAAAAGTGTGTGTGTATATGGGGGGGGGGGTGTCACAAAACTGTTTTACAGCTTTAAATGTTTCCCAACTTTAAGGTTGCAAAACTTTAATTATGATACAACTTTAAATTTCTACAATTTGATAAGTTGCACAATTTTTAAAAATTGTAGTTTTCATATTGTTTAACATTCAAATTCATGGCACAGATCAATCACACATGTCTCATATCCCTTTATATATTGACTTACTTACTTGACAATTCGACGTCCAGCACAGAGGGTACATGATAGATTATTAAAAAGAGGATATCCTCTTCCAGTGCACACGAGGCATGGCACCTGTTGGTATTCAATTTAAAATTTAAGAGCCAGAAGTAATCAAAGGCTGAAATCTCATATCAAATGCTTCATAGGTTTGTGTAAGCAGATACTTACAGTTTTGTGACCCCAGCACAAGGTGCATGTTTTTCTGCCTGAACACTCACACACTGGGCATCCCTTTGAATCAAAGAAATAAAAGCATGAAAATGTTGCTACCTTTTTTGATTGAGGTTTTATTTGATGAGACAACAAAGTTGTAAATTGTTGTTATAATTGTCTTGTTTGGGCATCTAATGGTGCCAATTGTGAGGCTGTCTTGAGTCCCCCGTCCCATTCCCATCCCTCAGGGGTAAGAAGGGCTGGATACAAATTGTTGAAATAAATAAATACAAAATAAAGAGCTCAGTATCAGAGCAGAGAAATTGGCATTAAGTATACAGATCTTCTATTTCATGTGCTATAGCCTTATTCTGGCTGTCATTTTTTCAGATAACTTGGTTCTAGATTTAAGAAGACATAACTGTACTTTATAGAAAACTGGAGAATAACTTCCCCTGCCCCAGAAGGCTGACATCTTTATGCATTTTAGGCAGAACTCTAAATAGTGGAGCAGGATGTAGACCCTTCTCCAACATACCTAGATACAGTATGAGGTCAGGAAGATGACTAAAATTTAATGATAACACTTCTTTGATAGCATCACTGACTTTAATGGGACTTTTTCAAATTAAAAAGTCACAGGGTTACACTGCAAGGGATGGCATTATGACCACTAGGCTATGGGTAGAAATATTTGCTTTAGTTTCAAAAGAAAGCAAGGGCAGGGCCATCCTGGTTGTGCTGGGGAGGGAGTTCCAATTCTGGGAGTAGTCACTGAGAATTTCCTGTCCATTTGTTCCCAACCAAACATATCTAAAAATCTGGTGGAAAGGAGAAGGGCTTCTCCAGGTGGAATCGGAGCTCTAGTGGATTCACACTGAGAAACAGTCCTTCAAATAACCTTGACCCATGTTTTATAGGTCAAAACAGATCAAATATCTTCTTTGTGTTGAAAAAAGTCTACCACACCAATTCTGCTGTCATAGATGTGGATGAGAACTACTAGTTTGTCTTTAAAGAATTTCTTTAGATGCAGGAAAGAAAGAGTTTGGGATTTCTGAAAACTTGAATGAAAGAACTTGAGATTAAAAATAAAAAAATGTGAAGAGAAAACCAAAGTGACACAGAAATCAACATAAAAGTTGCTTTGGCTTCCAAGGTCAGTCAAGAATGGCTTTGCTCTTTCAATCATCCATACATTTGCATTCACTATGTACCGTTATAGAAGATGTGTGAGGTACTTTGATCATCATAATCTTGTCTTTGAACATGTCAGGAACATCTGCTCTTAGATCCCAAGGCAAAGGAGCTGCACCATTTTGAGGAGAATCTACCTCTTCATCTAAGGAAGAAGAAAGAAAAGTTGGGCTACTTTCTAACTACCTCAGTTATGCCATGCCACAAGTAAAACATGGAGAGTCTAATAATACTTACCCCAGTATGGTTCTGATTTCCATGATGCAAACCTTGATTCAGTGAAGGTCTCTAAGCGATACTAAGAAATGGTTTTCAAAAGTCAAATATGAAAACATTAGGAGGAAAGTCAGAAAATAATGAATTATACTTATGGACATTATGCATAGATACTAGTAAATTCTATTTATGTTACAAACTGGGAAGATTGCTTTTTGCAATGAAACTCCCAGAATTCTCCAGCCAGCATGGCTATTATACTTTCCCAAATCCTCGCTCTACTTGACTGAGAAGCATTTGGGGTGCTTTTAAACAAAAAAAATTGTATATCCCTCTAATTAACAGATGAGTAGCTAGGAATCAAATATGGCGAATAGCCAAATGCTGATAATGGTCTTCTGGAGTTTAAAGGTGGACATTTTAAGATTGTGTTTGCTTAGGGAAATATCTTAGGAGCCTAGGAGATGGTATCTCATTAAGGTACCTGGCACAAGAGGTTGATATAGCAATTATTAAACAACAGCATGCTTTTCTTGTTGAGCCTTAAGGGATGAAAATGCTGGTGCTACCAGTACCGTCATGCTGGGTTTAGCTCAATGTCCTAAGAAAATGACAACTGGAAAAAACTGTCTGTTCACATAGAAACAAAAATTGCCTTATCTGAATACAGCAATGTGTAAACAATTAGACATGTTTCATACAAAATAGGAGGGAGTCCTGAGAAGCAAACAGATAATTAGAGAGATACTATTAGGGAAGGCAAAGGCATACTGGACAAGTTCTGTAAACAAAGACTGTTGAATTAAACACTATCGGTCAGGTCCCATGTTTTAGCAGAGTAAACCACTATAGGACTAATGTTCAAGGACAGAGGTTTATCTGAAGAATGTTGGATTGTAAAACTTTATTATTCATGGTCTAAACTGTACATGAAGAAACTTATTGTAAGTTTCTTCCCCATCCCAACTTGAATTGTATTAGCAAATATAGCATACCTGACCCAACACCATACTATACATTAATATGTACTATATAATATATGCTATTTATGTGTGTGTGTGTGCAAAGCACAATGCACAATTCACAACCACAATGAACAATGGACAGCTAGAAAACACTGCACTGAGATATACTGTGATTTCTGCATGCTCAACAACAAACAAATCTTCGTGTCTTGGTTTTTAGTCCTGTTCCTGGGGTTATTGGTGCACTGACTAAGAAAATGGCATTAGGTAAACAGCATTCACTCTACTTATTATTTTCTATAATACTATATATATATATATATATCGCTTTATCTCCCTGGAAGGACTCAGGATGGATAAAAGTACATATAAGGCAAAAATTCAATGTCTTTTAACACAAACATGGCATACAATACACAGATAGGTAAAGATCATCCCCTTTTATCCATTTCCGGCGTCTGAAGGTGATGCTCAACTTCTGGCCATGGGGAGGTGCTGTTGTTTCATTTTTCCATGCTGAAGGAGCCTGCTGGCCATAGCCTTCTCTGATCTTTTGCCAGCATATTTGCATGTCTGCATTGGGCATCCCTGTACCTTCCTATCAGAGGCAGTACCTATTTATCTACTCATATTGCATGCAAAGGCAAGCAAATGCTGACTGGCATATGGCATATGTTCTGTATTTCAAAAACTAGAGCTGATGCAGGAACTGGCACTATTTTTTGAATTGGAAGGTCAAATATGTTCAGAAAGAAGGCTAACATTTGAGGCATCAAATGTGTGTTGGCCAGTGATTTTTCTCACAAAATGTCAGCTGCAGGAAAGAATTAATGACAAATATAACAACAAAGTAAACATTATAGGTAGGCAGCAGTGAGGTTAGTGGCTTCCTTTTCAATGAGATAGTGAATCTGTCCAAGTTTTTAGTGTGATGCTTAAAGGCAGTGTTGCATCTATTTGGGGAACAAGTTCAGCACCTTGGACAGCTCACTTAAAATTCAATACAAAACCAGGATTAGAATCACCACCGCACTGACGCAGAAGCTACTGGCTACCATTGCAGCAATGTACAACTACTAAGCCTTTTATAGCAAAGTGAGGTAAAAATGTGCAATGCCTAACAGAATTATGTGAGTGGATTAAATTATAAGGAATAGGCAATAGTATGCACATGCACAATCACAAATGTGTATTTCAGCTTTTTTATTTATGACATTTATAGTCCGCCTTTCTCAACCATACAGTGACTCAAGGCGGGTTACAGATTGGCACGATTCAATGCCATGCATTCATAAAAGTATGATTATAAACAGTCAACAGAACAATATAAAAACATATATAAAACCATTAAAACATTTCAACCATCTTCTTGGCATTTTTCTAATTACATATTGCCCATCTAGACATTTAAATACGGTTGCTTTACATTTAGCACAAAGTGCTAGCATATATAAAACCTGCCATTTTTTTAAAAAGTTGCATATTACAACCAACAGTATTTTATGTACTTGCACTTTATTCAAAGTAGAGGTTATTCAAAGTAGCTTATGCTGCCTTAGTCTAAGAGGAAGGGAATGGCAAACTTTATTTGAATCAATTATGCCAAGAAAGCTTATCAGTCAAAATCAATGTAGAAGGGGCCAAGAATAGAAACAAAAGTTGCTCATTGATATATTGTTTAAACTTGTCTCTCAGGTTTTTGACCATGGAACTTCAAGCAGATAACAATCAGAATATTAGGCATATTTGTAGTATATACTAAGAGTAATATATACTAGCAAAATATATGTGGCTGCTTACTCTGTATGTATTCAGTGCTTGCAGATCAGTAATCACCATCTCCCTGGCAGGGGCTTTATTGTAACAACGTTTCCTTGCCACATACTGGACAAAAGCTTCTTTCGCCTCATTTTCTGAAATAGTTGGGATACTGCAAAAAAGAAGAGATTACAAGGGATAAAAAAAAAAAGCAAGGAAACAGTTCAAAGTGTTCATACTCCTTTAATGTCTCAGGCAATTCAGAAAAAAAATATGCTGCATAATGTTTGTTGGGTGCCTTCACGTTGTTTCTGACTTATGACAATTCAAAGGTGAATGTATCCAACAGTTTCCTTTGCAAAATTTGTTCCAAATTTGCTGTTTTCTGAAGCTGAGAAGGTTTGGCTTACTCAAGGTCACCCAATGGGTTTCCATGGCTGAACAGGGATTAAAACCCTAGTCTTCTGGGTCAGTCTAATGTTGAAACCATCAAATAAAATGACTTTAACAGAGAACACACATTTGTATAATATCAAGACACACCTAACTGTTCCCCACCATCTCTACTATTTATCAATATCTATTCATCTTCATTGCCCAGAGGTGAGCAGTTACACTTCAGTTAGTTTACAGTAAATATAAAGCTAAAATGAATTGTGATTCCCACTTTTGAAATAGACTACCCATCTTACTTCCAATTCCTCTGAGTTGGATGTGGTTCACCTCCATGGTCAAGAAGCAAACCAGTTGGAGGAAGGAAGATTCTTCTTTCTACAAAGAAATGAGATGTCAGTGCGTAAAGTAATTGTTGGGATAAGCAGTTGCAAAGGATCTGTAGTATGACATGCAAGATTAAAATTCTTCTTCATTTGTCAAGGAAATGCAATCACTTTGCAATGTCCATTTTGTTTAATAATACTTAAGCAGGACAAATGGAGGCGGGAACGTCAATAAACACAGGTATCTTTTTCAGGCAAAACAATAAACCATGGTTTATCAGAGCAAGCACTATCATTTGGTAGAGTCAGATTACTGCATCAGGAAACATGTTTTAGAAGAGCAGTGGCAAGTTGCAATCAATGCTGGTCTTCCTAAGACCACTATCCATCTCTCTATTTGGGATTAAATACGCATGTCATACATTCTGTCTTGAAATTCATACTGCATTTGTATGTGATGGAAATCCCTAATGTAATCAAGGATCTGTTGCCAATATTGATGCAAACTATTCAACATCTCCACATAGAATGGAAATAGATGCTTCTTTTTCATTTGCCTCAGGCAGGAAAATGTTTCAGGCCACCCCAGTGGCTTATTGCTATGAGTATTAGCCACAATTATGCTCACGTTAACACCCTGCCTCTCTTTTTCCAAGCACAGTTCTAAGAATTTCAGAAATATTTCCTTCTGCTTTATATCACCTTCAACTTACTTTGTTATTTGAAAACTGTGCTTGTCAAAATTCTTTATGATGGTTTGTTGAAAGAAATCAACTTCAAACAACTGTTATGAAATTAGCTTGTTCCAAGTAACTATAGTTAAGAATGGCTATATTTAACATATTGGTGGTAGCATTGGGGGTAAAATTACTCAAGAGCTTGGAAAAGTTGGGTTTTTGAACTGTGGTACCCAGCAGCCTCCAGGCAACATCAACAGAGTTCCAAATCTTGAGTTAATCTACCTAGTAGTGAGAGGTTCCAATCTTCTTAAAGTCAAACCAGCAGAGGTAATGAGAAGAAATGCAAGGAAGTCCATTCCTAAGGATTAACGTATTTATAATTGCATCTCATTTTTATTCAAATATTGTATGACTTGATAATGTACATGTCCCAAAATGACACCATTTTTGTTGGAAAAGCAGGGAGATATTTCTTTGTAAGTGTCTTTTACAGCCCCCTGCTTTGGTTCAATCAAAATTGGTATATTTTGGGATGGTGATGGGGTGGGTTGCTTAGGATTTTATCCCTCAGTTGATCAGATTTTAAGGTGGGTCTCAGGGGTCAGATTGGAGGACAGAATATATCCACAGCATTGTACCTACATATCTCTGATCGAAGATATCACCCTATGATATTAAATTTATGAATGAAAATCTACTCCATCACATGAATCTTTTGTATACCAAAATACTTGCCTTCATCCAGAAATGTTATGCCTTCATAGCCAGCGACATAGTCTACTTCATAGACAGATGGCTGAGGTGGCTCTAAGGCTTCAGTCATATCCTTAAGAGAGATGGCATCTATGCTATAAGAGATAAATAAATAGTGTTACCATTTAAACATCAAATAAATGTCATCAAGTACCAAATCTTACATACGAATGATTATCTTTAGAACCTAAATAATAAATCAATAATTAAACTGATTTTGCATCTAAGATCATCTTATGATTCTAATGCATTCACATTAAATCTAAAGTAGATGCCTATTCACCTACGAACTTTAGTCATGTGTAGAACTGTGAAACCAAAGACCCCTTTCTAGTACAAAGCCATAACAGTATGAAATCTATCTGAATTGTATCTCATGACATCCTAGGGCAGTGGTTCTCAACCTGTGGGTCCCCAGATGTTTTGGCCTTCAGTTCCCAGAAATCCTAACAGATGGTAAACTGGCTGGGATTTCTGGAAGTTGTAGGCCAAAACACCTGGAGACCCACAGGTTGAGAACCACTGTCCTAGGGCTTGTTGTTGGGTGAGGCATCAGAGGAGCTATCTGGCTAAGAGCCAGAGATGGTCAGTTCCAAAATTTCACTGGATGCTGTCATGCCAGTAAAAGTTGAACCATAACACTATAATTCTGTAGTGTGAAAGCATCCCAGAGCTGGACTAGACTACTGATGTTGACCAGTAACAGAACTTAAACGCTGGTGACCTAAGACATACATGGAACCTCAGTGTTCCTCTATATGCTATCACTGATGATGTCTTTTATCATAGAATCATGAATTCATGGTATTGGAAGAGACAACAAGAGCCATCCAGTTCACCCCATTCTGCTATGCAGGAACACAAAATCAAAGCACTGCCGACAGATGGCCAACAGCCCCTACTTAAAAACCTCCAGAGAAGGAGGCTCCGCCACACTCCATGGCACCATATTTCATGCTGAAGGGCTCTTACCATAAGGAAGTTCTTCCTAATGTTTATGTGGATTTTTTCCTCCAATTTGAATCTATTGCTCCTTCAAGTCTGTTTGCCCCTCCTCAATGTGACATCTTTTCAAATATTTAAACCTTGCTATCAGGTTCTCTCGTAGCAGACAACTTACACATGTATTAGACATGAGAGTCCTGTAAATTTCCCATGGCTGGTTGTTTTTTTCTTTACAAATCGTAAAAATATCATTCTACTGAAATTTCAGAAGAAAGGTGGGACAAAAATAAATACATTTAAATAGCTGAAATTTAGTGCTTTGTTGCTGTTCTGTGGCTTCAAAATATTTCTGATTTATAGCAATTCTAAGGCAAACCTATGATGGGTTTCCTTAATTTGATTTATTCAGAGAGTGGTTGCCTTTCCCTTCTTCTGAGGCTGAGAGTGTGTGACTCGTTAAGGTCCCACAGTTAGTTTCTATGGCTGACGAGGGATCCAAACCCTGGTATCCAGAATTATAATCTAATGTTAGCAGGGATTCTTACAGTAGTATTTTGGAGGAAAGTGCAAGCATATGTCTATATGCCTTCAAATCCCCTGTTGATGTATGCGGACCCCATGAATTTCAAAGTGGTCTCTTAGCCAATGAATAGATGTATTTTTGCCAGTTTCTTCCTCTTGGTGGTCTCTCATTCAAGTACTAACCCAAACTGTCACTGCTTAGCATCTACAGACAGGCTCTGGTACCCTTAGGGCATTTAGGCCCTAGGTTCTTTGCTTTAGCTATTTAAACTATTTACACATTATAATTTTAACTTTGGAGTTTTTATGTAAGCTACAAGCTGGGCTGGGCTTCTGCGCATAAGGACATTCATTCATTAATTTGATCTCTTAGGGCAGTGATTTAATTCCAAAGTATTAAATACTGAAACAAATTGTTTCTTATCATCAGTGTGCCGCAGTATTTGAACAACAACAATAAAAACTCTTTAGATATATACTGCATTCCAGTAAGCCCCAGTAATCACGGTAGGATTTACTTTTGAGTAAATATGCATAATTAGCATAATAAACTTTAAGCTGTATAAATACAACGATGGTACGATTTTCTGAGGCCACTTTTTGTGCATGAACCAGATTTATCATTTAATTCTTTAGGATAAAAGAATAGGGTAATTATTGCTGATTATGGATTGGTTTGCATACCAAATGTCACTTGGGCAGATGTCTGATGCAAAATTCTGAAATTCTGAGGAGATGATACTCTGGTAGAAGAAACAGAAGTAGAGAGACAGATATACACTTCATGTAAATAAATGAACAACAGATATACAGGAATATTTCCATTGTATAGCAGTTTGAAAGCCTGGATGAACAGTGGTTGGTTTTTAGCATATGGCAGTCATGTATAAGTTTCTAACAAAGAAATTGGAAAAGGCTCACTGGTTTATATTGCTATTTGTTTCCAAAGCTGATGCAAACTAATTTCCTTGATAATGTTCAGCACTTGTCCATCTCCTTATCAACAGCTTTGAAGGAAAAAACTACCCTCAAGCGCCTTAGGATGAGTGCAGTATGCTGGAACCACAGCACAAAACTAAGTCTGGATCTACACTGCATATAATCCAGATTATCAATTTAGATAATCTAGATTATTGATTTTGAACTGGATTATATGAATCCACACTGCCATATTTAACCTGTTAAAAGCAGATCTAGATTTTATATGGCAGTGTAGATGGGACCTAAGGTAGGCAGAAGAAATGTAAAACTCTTTGTCAGTGCTGAAACTCAGGCTGCATCTACACTGCCCTATCTCCCAGCATCTGATCTCAGATTATTTACTTTGAACTGGATTATATAAGACTACACTGTAAGATAATCTGAGATAAGTAGAAAAACTGGGATCAGATCCTGGGATATAGGGCAGTGTAGATCCTGCCTCTGACACACAAGCAAAAGGCTGTTGTTAGGTGCCCCCTTTGCCCTTCATGTAGTACCACTGGAAATCAACTGTATTCTGGATGAGAAAGACCTTATCAATGAAAGTAGAAATTTAGGAGGCTCTTACCAGACTGCCTGAGTCAATTCCATCATGACTGTTTGAAAAATCCACTTGAAATTGCTTGTCAGAACTATGCCGTCTCATTCCTTTCTGTAACCCGTTTCCCAGCTCTGAGATTTTGAATCTAGACGATCATCTGTGTAACTTCATTGTGCAAATTAGACACACCCATATAATAAACCAAATCTTTGGAAATGTTCTTTTTAGATTACAGCTTCCAGAAAAACTATGGCTGTTAGGTCTGGAAATATAGTCCAAACATTCTTAAGGTGCTGTAATATATATATTGACCTTTGCAACAATGTTATTGTTATTGACCTTTGCAACAATGTTGGCAGCTGATAATGCTTAAGTTTATTACTCATTCCAATTCAATTCTTAGATGCATGAAAGTTTGAAACTCGGTATGCTGATAAACTCAAAGCAGAATTCAATGCCCCTTTATTCCAAATGATCTTTGGAATATCACATATTTCCATGCCTAGAGTATAATCCACTTCAAGATCTACCATAATTCTCGCCATCTGAACCTACTACTTCATAGGACTCATTAATGTGTGTGATGACTCCAGTTAACAAATACAAAAAAGGAATCAGGAGGAATGTGCATTTGTATTTATTTATTTGTCCATTCATTGTTTATTCAATTTATAAATGTATATCCCATAAATATAAATTAAAAATAATAATATAACCCACACTACTTTATTGATTCCAGTTTCCCTATGGAATAATTAGCAACCATGATCTATAATCCATGATGTATTATTATATGCTCCCAAATTAGATTGAAATATGAATGACATTAGCTAAATTCCATATTCTCACCATAGTGAAGAGAGCATGGTAAAAAGTCATAGTATACAAAGAGTATGCTCTTTATATAAAAACACAGGGCATGCAGGAAAGAAGAGAAGGCTTAAATATTATAAAAGCAACAGATTCCATCTGTCCTGGAAGCTAAGCAGTGTCAGCCCTAATGAATACTTGGATGGGAGACCACAAATGAATATCAGTGCTGTAGGCTATATTTCAGCAGAAAGCATGGGTAAAACCAGCTTGGAGTAGTCCTTGTCTAAGTAAAACCTGTGAAAAAATCATGGGGCTACCATAAACCAATAGTCAACCTGAATAAACACACACAGGAAAAAAACAAAAACATAGGAAACATCAAGCTGGATCAGACCAGAGTTTTTTCTAGTCCAGCAGTTTTATCTCAGTGACCAACTGGTTGCCCATGGGAAGCCACACACAAGATGAATGCAAAAACACTCCACTCCGATTTTCCCAAATGACAGATATGCAGTCGCACTGTCCTGGAGAGAATAGGTATTGATCACGACTTGGAGCCACTGAGCCACGATAACCATTTTTCTTGTTTTAAAGCAGTCCAAGCTATCTCTTGTAGTAGTACATGCCAATTTAACTATGAAATATGTGAATAATTATTTTCTTGCAGGTGCAGTACATGTCTAGCTGTAGTTATCTTCAAGAGCAGCCCTGTGGAATCTGTCAAAGTCCAAGGATGATGTAGAAATTGTGTCATAGAGCTAAGTCCAATAAAGCCAGCTCGTTCCAGAACTTTAAATCTAATGTTAATGGCACAGAGGACAAATGTATACTTAATTGCCTACTTATTACCTAGCATTTTTCAATTATAAGAAGACTTTGATATGTGAGGCAATGAACCACTCTTGCCAGACTCTGAGCTTATTATAAAAGGCATGCTTTCAGAATAAGGTGTGATATCCTAGATCCCTGACCATCATGGGGAATAAGGTGTCTCCACTGAAGCTTTCTCACCAATCCTTGTTTCCACAACAAGCTAATTTTTTTTCAAAATTGAATGATCACATGGAAAGAAAGTGAGGTGAAATCATCTGAGCAGAGCAAAGACAGCAAAACAAACACCACAGAGATATTAACCCCTATCCTATCCAAAGCTTATATGACTGGAGTTACACTTTAAAATGTAATAACAACAACAACAGCAATAATAACTTTATTTGTATATCGTCCTATCTCCCCAAAGGGACTCAGGGCGGTTTCCAACATATAAGGCAAACATTCAATTGCCCAAAATAAAACCATACAGACAAATGACATCAAGACAAATACATAGACATAGATAATACATAGACAATTTTAAAAAGAACCTAATTTAACTTAGTAAACAAAATAACAAAAAATAAAAACATCATAAAATACAAAAATCCTACTAAAACACTTTAAAAATAAAAAATAAAAACCAATTGCATTATAGCTCCATCAGTCAGGTTCTGCAACCCAATGGCCAAGAATACAAAATGGATGTGGCCAACTATAAGAGGGCTGGGCAAGCCATGGTGCAAACAGCATATCATAGGGTTGGAGAGTGGATGAAGTGCAGAACAGAGTATTAACTGGGGACCTAGGGACTGGGGCTAGGGATTATCATTCTCAAATACTTGCTGGATCATCCCGGTTTTAAAATCCTTACAAAAGGAGGAAAGTCTGGGGGACTCCCTGGGGATGGTGTTCCAAAGACAGCGAGCCACCACCAAGGTCCTCTCCCTTATCCTCACCAGCTGTGCTTGTGATGGTGGTGGAAGTAAGAGGAGGGCCTCCCTGGCAGATCTTAGAGCCCACACCGGTTCATAGGGGGAGATGTGATCATGAAGGTAGTCAGGGCCTCAACCAATTAGAGCTTTTTTATGTGATAACCTGCACCTTGAATTGGGACTGGAAACTTATCAGCAACCAATGGAGCTGCTTTAATAGGGGCGTTGTATGTTCTCTATAATTAGCTCCAGTTAGAAATCTAGCTACCAACCTTTGTGCCAATTGCAGCTTCCAGGCCATCTTCAAAGCCCCATATAGAGTGGATTGAAATAATCTAATCTGGATGTAACCATGGCATGGACCACCGTGGCCAAGTCTGGCTTCTCTAGGTATAACCACAACTGGCGCACATGCTTTAACTCTGCAAAAGCCCTCCTGGCCACCACCAACACCTGGGCATCAAGCTTCAGCGCTGAATCCAGGTGGACCCTCAGGCTGTGGGCCTGTATCCTCAGGGGGAGTGTAACCCTGTCAAGCACAGGTTGCCACCCAATACCCCAATCAGCCTCCCGACTGACCAGGAGGACCTCGGTCCTGCCAGGATTAAGCTTCAACTTGTTAGCCCTCATCCAATTCATCACGGCTGCCAGGCACTAGTTCATGATCCAGGATGCTTCCTTGGAATTCGGTGGAAAGGAGTAGTAAAGTTGAGTGTCACCTGCATAATTGTTCCAATTTACATACAAATTCAGCTTAAGAACAAACCTACAGAGAACCTATCTTGTTTGTAACTTGGGGACTGCCTGTAGTTCTGGGGATAATGATGCAACTGGATTCAAAGCCATTCAGCTGTTGTTGCGCTTAGTGGGAAATCTGCAGTTGGCACATCAGATATAATTGGAACACAGAATATGAAAAGCACAAATCACGGCAAGCTAGACACAGTAAAACAAAACATGGAACATAAGAAGCAGAACATCAGATTGAATTTTGTGAAGCCAATAGACCACATACTTCTTTTAAAAAGTTATTTATTGATTAATTTTGAATACAAACAAATGTAATTTACAATTAAAGTAACATACATTTTTAAAAGCAGAGAAGAAAGAAAAAACTCATATAGCTACAATTAAAATATAGTACTGTTGTAGGTTTTTTGGGCTATATGGCCATATTCTAGAAGCATTCTCTTCTGACATTTTGCCTGCATCTACTGCAGGCATTCTCAGAGGCTATGAGGTCTTCACAACCTCTGAGGATGTCTGTCATAGATGCAGGCAAAATGTCAGGAGAGAATGCGTCTAGAACATGGTCATATAGCCGAAAAACCTACAACCACCCAGTGATTTTGGCCATGAAAGCCTTTGACATTACTTATGATTAGTGAAGAAAATATAAAGGTATGTTTACAGTTGATCATAGGGGGAACAAAAAACATGACCACTAGGGGTGTGCATTTTTCGTTAGTCCTCGTAAGCCAGATCAAATTCATTAAATTGATACTTATGACAAGATATCTGACATGTGAGCACAGCCAATGCAAAAGCTTAAGAATCTAAATTACCCAAAACTTTTTCATTTGCATTTTGTAAACCTCAGAAGTCTCCTAAGGTCAGTTTCATTTTCAGAGCAAGGAGGTAAAGCAAATCCAAAAGGCTGCCTTTCCTCTATACATTAATGGCCTCTCGCCATTAGGAGAGGCAAGCAGCAAGAAGAAAGTAGTTTGCAGGGGAAAAAAGCACAAAATTCTGGGAAATTTAGTTTGGGAAGGTGAGGAGTCCTACACCAGGGAATTCAAAGGTCCCCGCCCTAAACTACATTTCTCACCTCAGCATCAGAAAGCCCCAATCAGGTTAAAGGAGAGATTTGTCTCGCCATAGCAGCAGCCAGCCAGAGTTCCAATAAATTGTTGAATCTGCAAAGAGGAGGACTGACTGATACTTCTAGCAAGTAAATGTCTGTACTGGGCTGGGAAGAAATCCCTAAATGGAAGTTCTCTTGATTAATATGAGAGACATTCATTGAGATTTCTGTTAGAGCTTTTCTTTTTGAAAAAAATGTTTTTGCCCATCCACAGCTGACAGTCCTCAAAGAAAGTGTAGCCCCAATTGTACCATGAATTTGAGCCAATAATCAAATTGTCGATTTCTGGGTTAGTTGGGGCCAGGCCCGTAGCCAGGATTTCGTTTTGGGGGGGGGGCTAAATTTTTTCAGGGGGGTTTCGGGGGGGCTGAGTTTGGGGGGGGCTGAGTCTGAGTGAAAGAGGGTCTAGCCTAGCAAACCTTTTGTATCATTACCCCAATACCCCCATGCATATGGGATATATTGAGTATGGTGATCAGATCATGATATGAATAAACATAACAGTTTAAATAATGCACCAGTAAGGCCTTTTCGCGAACCACCATGAAAATTTCGGGGGGGGGGGCTGAAGCCCCCCGAGCCCCCCCCCCCTGGCTACATGCCTGGTTGGGGCATTTTTATGCTGGTGGGGAATAGGGAGGTCTTTTCAGACAAATGTCCAGAAACAGCATTTACTACTTAGAGCCCTTCCACGCGGTCATATAACCCAGAATTATTAAGGCACTGCCATATAATCCAGTTCAGTGTGGATTTTATGCAGCTGTGTGGAAGAGGTCTTAGTGGGTTTCTTTTGTCTGATCATCTGAATACAACAAGGTTTTTACTTATAAAACGTATAATATTCCTGAAGAAATTTATGGAAAATCAACTGGAATTATGTTTGCAATTTTCAGTAAAACCGCTGCTGCTCAAGTATAACCCCTTAAGATCCCTTCCGCATTAGAAGTTAGCTCCCAGATTTGGGGTACATGTACACTGTAGAATTAATGCAGTTGGACACCACTTTAACTGCTATGGTTCAATGCTATGGGATTCTGAGATTTGTAGTTTGATGAGGCATGAGTAACAGAACTTGTAAAATGACAAACCCCATGATTCCATAGCTCTGAGCCACAGCAGTTAGTGATATCAAACTACATTTATTCTACAGTACTGATGCAACCCAACAGCAAGCTAAAGGGGGGGGGGGGAATCTGAGTAGTAGCTAAAAGGATAATGAACACATAACATATGAGAACCCAGGATCCAGAGCCCTCAGATTTCCATTTTTTTTCACCACCAATATTTTCCTACTTCAATTTAGTGTTGTTTATAGATGCAGAAGCCATCATCTTCTCACAACCATTTTGTTTCACTGGCATATGTCCACTTGCACTACTGTGAAACTGCAGCGCCTCATGCGGGGACATGAGAGAAGCCTCCCAGAAGGATGATAAAAACATCAAATCATCCGGGCGTCCCCTGGGCAACATCCTTGCAGACGGCCAATTCTCTCACACCAGAAGCAGCTTGCAGTTTCTCAAGTTGCTCCTGACACGACAAAAAAAAAAACTGTGAAAGAGAATGAACACCCTGAATGCTTCACTGTACAAACTCATATACCCTTGTGCCCAGGATTTGTAGACTAGTAGATAATATTAGTTGTTCACTTCACTGCGTCCTATTTTTAGGCCAATAAAATTACAAACTACAGCCATTAGAATCTGGAAACTATTCCATTTTTCATCATGACAACGGAAGCAAGAAAACAGTTCAGATTACATTACAGATGTCATTCCAAGATAGTACTAGCCAAGCACATCATTATATAGAACCTAAACTTTTATGTCACCACAAACAAACTATTATTATAAACTGTACTAATGTTTCACACATTAAAGCTTGCTTTAAAAAAGCTGAAAAAGAGCAAACTGAGTTTGTTTCTAAGAAAGTTGAACAACACACCAGAGGACATTTCCACTTCATAATAGTGGAGTATCATCATCTTTTTTTAGCAAGCTGCATAATATTCTATGTCATTTCCAAATCTCATTTTCTCTAGTGTTTTCTCACCATTCTAATAATTCATGCTAATGAATTTATTTCAAAACCAAGTTTACAAAACAGAGATAGGAAGTAATACAGAATAATGAACCATATTTGCTCCATTGTGCTTAGAAATATCCTGGAAATCATATAATAGTACAGCAACATGTTTTAGGATAATCTTTTGCATAAACCTTGCGTTCATTCCCATAAACATAGTAGGAATGGGAATGTCCATGCCACTCATATTCCACTTTGGAGAGAAGTATCAGCTCAATTGTTTGCCTCTGTAAAAGACAAAAAATAAATAAATATACTGCCAGTGTCAATAGAAACATTCAGGGCTGTGTTAAGTTTGCTTCTAGTTTTTAGAGACTAGAATATGCTCATTCCCACTTGACTTCTAATCCTGAAAAAACTTCACATTTTGAATTAAGTCATGATAAAGTTTAGAAAGCCTTTGGTGTCTGCTGGAGTTTGGATCCAGGACCTTCTATGTCTACCAACATCTGGGGATGGCCAAGTCCCATTTTATACCACAGCGTAACAAAATTGTGTCCCCTATAGAAAATGGCAAAATCAAGGTATGCTTTTGTTTTTGTTGTTTTTTTTAAAAAAAAATAATTTCAAGATATGGATTGTAGAATCTGTGGATGCAAAATCCATAGACACAAAGGGTCAACTGAGATAGTAGATGTTGAACTCCAACAGCTTTGCAGGTATGATAAATGCACTGTGTTTTGATATCTTTGTCCTAAGCCAAAAGAGAGACAGTAAAGTTGAAAGGACATTTGCAGGGGACAACCTATATCTGCAAAATAGTGACATCATCCCATCTCCTATAGATTGAATTGATTTCATACTGTGAAATGATATCTATATATAGACAGAATCAGATCAATAATTAGGAAGAGTGCAGCATCTGATTCAGTTGATAGATGATTAGAGGTAGAGCTGTCACACACACACGTTCAAAAAAATAAATTATTTGCTCCAAGGTATAGTATTTGTCTGCAGACTGCTCTTTCCTGGCACCAAAAAGAGATCCTAACTATTCAGTAGCTCTGGTTGGCATGCAGTAGTACAGATGCTCTTGTGGCACCTTTTTTTCTCTCACTTGTTTTTTTTTAATTTGTTTTTATTGAAGAAAATTGGACAACACAGACAAATATGCAGACAAGACAAACAAACACACATACAAATTAAAAGGGCTACTACAATTGAGGGCTGAATACTTCCCTATGTATATACTAAGTTCTTACATACTTATCAATACCTAATTTTGTAAAACGTATTCGCCAATGCCTACATACCTACCTACCTACCTACTTAACCCACGCACAAAGACAAAATATTACCACTACACAACCTCCCTCTTGTGGCACTTTTTTCTGAAATAAATAAACCTCCAGGTCTGTATTGACATTCTGTTTTTGATCACTAATATTTAGATGTATTTGGAGCAGTCTTGCTTACAATATAATTCACGGTGCCTGCAATGAAACTACTACTGCTAGAATTTTAAGACTTAGAGACTTGTCTTAACAAGACTATTTAGACACAGTATGAAATCAATTCAATCTTCAAGGTGCTGTGGCAATAACCCAAAGGCTTTCTGCTATGCTTGTAAGCACAATGCATTTTTCCACACTGAATTCAGTGGCTACAGAGAGCATCTTGCAGAAATAATGAACTGGGGGATTCAAAACACAGAGAAGGTCCAATAGGATTTCCTTTGAAAAGTAAGTGGTGTTTGAGTGTTACTGAAAATTTCACCTAAACCAATGGAGGTTTCAACCGTTGTTTCTCATACAAGAGAGAACATGAAGCTGAAGCTGAAGATACCCTGCACTGTAGCTGAATGTAGCCTTTGTGTCAAGTGTTTTGGCAGCCCGCGCCCCCCCCCTCCCCCAGCACTCACCTGTCTCAGTATCCGCCTTGTGGATCCAAACTGGAATCTATGCCCTTCAACTGCATCCCGGGAGGCTTTCATGATGGCATGGTCAGGAAAACCCAACACTGGAGTTACCTATGAAAATACAACACCTTCAGTACACAGAAAAGAAATAGAAGCCTAGACTAATGAACAAGAAGTGGATGGAATTATTTTTTTTTAACTACGATTGACTCCTGAATTGTTCTTAAGGCCACAGCCCAGAAAAACCACTTTGATGTATCATAGTTGAACAAGTGACATAGAAAAAGTGGCACAAATATGAAATATAGTCTATGTATATTAGTCCACTACTGTCTTTTTAAAGTAAACAAATTAAATTATTAAGAAGAGAGGTAAGGTCAAAATTATCAACTTTGCAGATCTGATGATTTATAGATTTGACCAATAGGTTTTCTTTAGGAATGTCTATGCCATTCGGCATTACTCTATGGCCAACTTCTGTAGCCCCTCCAGGATGATTCAATGGTCAACCTCCAGCTGAAACTTAGCAGAGAACTATGCTGGAAGACTTAGCAATTCCTAGAAAGGTGATTTCTCCAGTAAAATGGTATTTTTATTCCATGTTCCATGAAAAATAACAAGTTTTTCCACGTTCGTGAGGGTCCTGCATATATTATCCAGCAAATGTGGAGGGCTTACTGTATATTTATCGATATTGGGTTGGCTCTTTGGCAACTTTCCCTACATAGCTTCTTGCTTTTATTGGATGTCTTGCATTACCATCAGTTGCTCATCTTCAAATAACTTCACTCCATTTACTTCATCAAAGAGTTTAGTTGGAAATCCAATGTTTGGATCTGATACATGTTTAGAAATGTTATTCTTCCTAAGAAGGCAAAAGTAATGAGTTGCAATCAGTACTTCTTGCATGTTTTTATCTTCATGAAAAATCAACAACTGCATCAAAACAAAGCACTTTCAAAAGACTGTCTACGAAGGTATGCAATAGGGTAAAACAGACTGCTGCAATCTCTACTAAATTAGTAAAATTATGTAAATAGATATAAATCATTTTTAGTCATAAATTACAAGGGTTTTACATAACTAATAGAAATATTAGTGATAATATTATGTAAGAAAATTTGAAAAAAAAATCTGTTCCTGGTTTAAAAGTGTCATTTCCTGTTTAATTGTGTGGTACTTACTTTGAAAATAGTTGCTATACTCCAGGACCATGCTTCTCAAGATAAAGTAAAATACTCTTCCTAACATCATTACTGGGGAACGACTGACTAGAAACATTCAATGTTAGCCTCAAACAGCTATACTTGTAGCACCCATATTTCAGAAATGATGTCTCCCTTCCACCATGTTTTTTTTTTACAAGACTTGCCATTCAATTATCAACTCAATGAACACCAGGAGCTGTCCTCTTCCTTTACAGTCAGGGCATTCTTTGGTCCCCATACCAGAACAATCTTTGCACCTGTTTAAAAAAAACATGTTTTTTCAAGGACAACCAAGATTAACTGAAGCCTTTAGTAAGAAAGTAAGTAAGGGCAAACTTTCCAGCTTGGGGGCCACATTGAGGGCTGGGGTAGGGTGGGTGGGCTGGGAGGGAGGGGGTTCTCCCTAAGTCCCCTCCCTGCCATTTCCTCCCCTTCCTCTTCTCTCTAGGAGGCAGAAAGTGAAGGAAAGACAGGAAACGTTTGGATCCCAAAAGGGTTCGTCTTGGTCAGGGTTAGATGGTGGATGGGAGGAAAAAAAGTGTATACATTAGACCCCTACTCCTGATACAGAATCTTGAATTCTAGAGCTGGAAGAGACCCATGAGGGCCATCCAGTCCAACCCCCTGCCATGCAAGAAGGCACAACCAAATCCCTCCTGATAGATGGCTTCTGCGGAAAAGCCGCCAGAGAAGGAGACTCCACCACACTCATGAGGCAGCCTATGCCACTCTCCAACAGCTCTTACTCTCAGGGAGTTCTTCCTAATTTTTTCAGTTGAATTTCTTTCCCTACCATTTGAAATCATAGCTTCCTTGTCCCCTGGTCTAGAGCAGCAGAATGTTGAAACATGGTTTTCATGTTCCCTCTCTGCCATCTCTCCTTCCAGCTAAACATCCCCCAGGAGGAAAGGAGGGAGGAAAAAGAGAAGGAAGGGAGGAAGAGAAGGATGGATGGACAGAAGAGAATGGAGGGAGGAAAGAGAGAAGGAAGGAAAGACAAAAGAGAGGGAAGGAAGGAAGGAGAAAGAGAGAGAGGGGAGGAGGGAGGAAAGGAAGGAAGGCAGGGAGGGAGGGAAGAAGGAACGAAAGAGGGAAGGAAGGATAGGATGGTGAGAGAGAGGAGGGCCTGAGAAAAGAGCCCAAGGTGGCGCATCCCCCCCCCCACTCGGTCTGGGTTTGCCCATACCTATTTTAGTACATGCAAACACTGGGGGGGGGGGGGATAGAAACATCCAGAGGAAAAGGAACTTTCAACCAAGTCTTTTTACAGCAAATATTTGGAAAATGTTCCCTTTAGCATCATGAACAAACTATTTTAAGACAAAATGATCCCTTTAGCATAATGAACAAACTATTTTAAGACAAAATATTTATTCACCCTGCATATGTTCTATATAGCAGGTAAATATATAGGCAACAGCATGAAAGTATCTTACATCACTGCAATTCATGATTTTGGTTCTATTTTCTCAAGTTTGTTTTATGGGAATGAATGCTTTATGTCTGTTTAACATTCTGGAGGACTATAGGATACAAAATAATTTTATTTGCTTTATTTGTGTTGTTGACTTCTTCCATTTTTATTTTCCTATTCCTCATAAACTGGCCAAATGAAAGCTGTTCCTTATAGTTCAGACATTCCTTACATTTTAGGACTTCGTAGCTCCATTTGTAACATAAAATGTTTGGGGTTTTTTTTAAAAAAAAAAGTAAATTCAGTTTGTAATTATTTTCTGAATAAAACACAAGCACTTGTCCTAAACAATGGTTACGATATCTTCCTTTCATATTAGTACAAAAATTCTGCAGAGTAAATGAAGCATTTCTTTGAGTTTCAATAAGATAATTATACAATTACTAGAACACCAAATATGTTTGAAAATTGAGTGCAAACATTCCCATATTAAAGACAGGATAGACATTATAATGCAAACAATTCTGGGCGAGGGGGGCATATGTTTTTGGAGTGTAGTTAAGTGGCCAATGATTATTCCCTATTTATTATTCTCTAATTGTAAAAAGAAGTCTCTAAAATGCTGTAGCTTGATTAAGCCTACCACCCAATTGAGTTCATATCAATAATATCAGAACCTTGCATTTCCGTTTTTGTGACTCACTCCTCAAACCACTGTACTACAGGAAGTACATAAAACAAGAATTCAAGCATGACCACAATGTGTTGATTGCATTCTGATATGAAATAGTAAAATTGTTACATGCAAAGACATTCTGATGGTTCATGATAAAACAAAACCTGTAAAAGGACAAGGGATGACAATTTTCCCACCATACAACATTCAGACCCAACAGTGACTCACGCACATGTCAGTTCCAGTTCCCGTACACCTGCTGCATGTTTCATCATTGATCCGGTATCCTTTTCCATTACATGCCCAGCACTGTTGCTATCAAACAGATGGAGCAGATATTAATAACATTTCTTCAAACAAAACTTTTCTTGGTAAAAACTAATAGTTAAAACCATATTGCATCCACTTTTTTTGTCCTTAGTATGTCTACCTTGCTTGTTTGTTGCATGCTTTCAAGTTGTTTCCAGCTTACATGCTTATCAAGTTTGCAGATAACACCAAATTAGGAGTGTAAAGGAGGGTAAAATTACTGCCACCAAATTTGTGAGGAAAGCCGGGCAATGATCAATATCAGCTTAGGAGCTGGTTTATAAAGGGACTATTATTTACAGAAGGCTTTATTCATGTGATAGCATAGCGTTTACTGTCCCTGGTTTGACTTTACTTCTTATGCAGGCTGTTTGACTTAGGAGAAACTGTATCAGGCAAGGTTTGAGGAAAACAGTAACAAGTTTATTGGAACAAGCAAGGTATAACAGATTCGATGTTTCTTCTCTAGAGGCACAAATCTTGATAGGTTACATTAGTAAGGTTTCATGAGGAACTTTAGGTACAGACTTTAAGAGGTTTCTATAAGCAGATGTAACTTTCCTGGATAACTGTCCTAATAAAACAAATAAGCTAAAAGGCTTATTTAACAAAATTGGCTCCCAGCCAAACCCTGATTCTTAATATTAAAGAGCCAGTCTTCCCTATAGTTCTCTAACTATAGTATTCCTGATGGTTTTCCACACACCACAGGATCAACTACCTTCTCCTATAACTCTTTGTCACAGACTGCCACTTTCAAACAGCTGCCCCGTGAAGTGACAGTTGGCTCCGCCCCTGTTGCTATGGCAACTCAGCTCAAGCCAAACCTGCCACCATCTCTAACAAACTTTTTTCTTCGTGGTCTCTGCGAATGCACACTTGTGGAGAGTCTGCGCCTGCGCGGGCTCCAACGGAAAA